ACCACCACTGACTGCTCTGACCAGGATCACAACAGAGGGTTCTGGACAGAGCTGGAGAAGGATGTAGAGCATAATTCTAACTCACAAGAAAAAGACCAGATTTACTGGCCTAAAGGAGACTGGAGAAGCCTCGAGAGTATGGCCCCCAAACACCGTTTCAGCTTAGTGGTGAAGTTATCTCCGAGGTTCACTGTTCAGCCTGGGAGTGGACAGCCCCGTAAAACCAAATGAGACTAACGAGGTACAGGAATCCAGTGTCGAGGGCCAGAAGGCAGAGGGGGACAGGGAAGCTGGTGATGGGGAACACAAGGTTGAGTAAGGATATTGTTGATGTGTTGTGAGATTGTTAACCATTGTCATGGGGCAACATTTGTAGTAACTGTTAAATGAGAAACTACTTTGTTCTGTAAGCCTTCATCTCAAGTGAGAATAACAGCACAATTGGAAGAGCGTAGTCAGTGTCACTGAACCGTATATGCAGAAATTTTTGAAATGGTGTATCTCTGGCTATGTGTATTTTCACCAAAAAAAAAAGGTTGAGAAGTCAGAGGGTTAATATGTTGTGGGGTTGTTAACCAATGTCATAAAACATGTGTACTACTGTTTCATGAGAAGCTATCTGTTCTGTAAGCCTTCACCTGAAGTACAATAAAATATAAAAAAAAAATAAAAAATAAAGTAAAGATAAACAAGTAGATATTTACCTACAACTGCCAACTCAAGTATATACTATCCCAGAAAAAAAAAATAATTTACATGTAGGTGTATTTTACAAAGCAGCCTTCCAATGACAGTATAAATACTACACAGCTCAAGTAAGGAAAAACATTTCAGCACACAGCGACTCTGTTTTTACTATGACCAAGAAGCTGTTTTCTGAGAGTGGCCTGGAAGAAAATCTATTTACCAGACCCCATTCTTGGAAGCAGTCATGTGACCCAAATTTGTTAGCAGTGACTTGGAAGATACCATGTACTGGGACCAAAACCTTATCAGAAAAATACCAAACTCTTCTTGATATTATTATTTTACTCCCCAGGGTTTAGCATTTGCAAACAAATCTTAGTAATTATATAGTAACTATGAGGGCTGAAAATATATCTCACGTAGAAAGAAACATTGAACCTAGAAAACTCAAATATTTAAACCAAACCAAAAAGTATAAGGTTTTAAGATTTTTACCACAGGATAAAAGCCCTTCTTTGTAGCCCACAGTGTAGGAGAAATCAACAAACTCTCTTGGGGAAATTATATTCCAAAGCTGACCAGCAGTAGTATAACGCATCACACAACAATTCTGAAAAGACAGGAGAGGTAAGACAGGTGTTATTACTATAGGAAACACACATGGAATTTATCTTTAGTAAAAAACTAATACTCATTTTAAATGTTTTATAATTATTATCAATAATAATTCTTACAGTGATTCTGACAGGTCTCGATCTCTATTCTAACCTCACTGCTACTGAACAGACATGGAGAGGATATATAATTAAAATAGAATGGCCAAGTTACTCAGTATCCAAATCTCTAATTCAATATAGTTGCCTTGTAACTTATATGATATCCCACATGGAAGGAGGCGGTGTGTAGACTGTTTAACAGAGTTTAAGATAATATCCTCGGGGGCAGTGGGGGTATTTTCAGAATTTTACATTTCAGGACTTCAACTAAAGTTTTATAATTAAAGACGCTAAAGATTTTCTTAAGCAACTGAGTAGAGCTACTGTGGAAAAGACTCAGTTCTGACTAACACTCATTAATTAGTATGAGGAAACTCAAGCATCTTGAGAGGCAGCACAGGATTTCCCATTAGAGTTTGCCATGACTACTTATTCTCAAAGCAATGAATCCAAGTATGTACACATAAACGCGTTCTCTCTCTCTTTTTTTCTCTCTCTCACACACACATTCTAAAGTAATGTTTCCAAACAAATACCTCTTCAAAGTGCTCCAAAATATCCAAAGAAGTCATCAAGCTGTCCCAATCCAAGCGACAGGGCCCTGGGCGTATGTGGTCTATTACACTATTGACAATGTCATCTATGACACCTTGGGCTTTGTAGCTGGAGAAATAAAATTAAAGTCAAATGTTGTTAGAATGAAAAATTTCAGCATAACTTCATAGTCCAGAGCTAACTCAGAAAGAAGGAGTAATACGGTTTTTTAACGGCAGTAAATCCCAAAACTTTTCTGATAAATTAAGTCCTATCAATTTTTTTTTGTTTTGATTATCAAGTAAGAGGAATGAAGGCTGTAGTACATGTCATTATGAATACAGACATCCTTTCACGTATGATGTGGCGGAAAACAGTCTACAAAACACTATAATGCTTCCATTTATTTTGCACGGTGTTCTTCCCTCAGTTATCCTCTAGCATGCTATCAGTATATGCATATCTTTACCCTGAATTTTAAAAGCTTTTTATCAGGAACAGAAAAATAGGACAATAGAACACCCAGGAACTGGCTCATAAATATATAAGAACCTAACATATTTCAGGGGTAGCACTATAAATCAGAGGGGAAAGGACGTACTACTCCATAAATGATGCTTGGATTCATTATCCTGATGGAAAAAAAAAACTGGATCCCTACTTCACACCATTCAAAATAGCTAATCCAGACAGATTAAAGACCTCCATGTATAATGTAAAACTTTCAGGACAAAATACAAGAGACCATCTTTGTGACCTCCAAGTACAGGGGATTTTTAAGTATATAAAACACACAAAAACACAAATAATACAAAAGACTGGTTACACATAAAAACGTTCCTACTATAAATGACAGCATAACAAAAAATTTTTTTAAAAACAAGCCACAGACTAGGAGAAGAGGTGTGCAACAAATATAAGTAGAAGTATTACGAGAATATATAATTCCCATAAGTCAAATCGAAAAAGACAAACAATCCAAAGAAAAGATGGGCAAAGAATGTGTTAAGATACTCAAAAGGAAACCTGAAAATCAGTAAGCATAGAAAAGCTGCTCAACTTCACCAGCAATCAAGTGACTACTAATAAAATACCATCTTATACCTCAGATTGCCAGAGATTGAAAACTTACTAATTACAAGTATTGAATGGAGGGAAATGAGAACTCTCAAACTATCACCACCACTTTTGGAGAACAATCTGCCAAGGTCTAGTAAAGCTGGATGATGTATATCTTCATGACCTAGAACTTACAGGTATATGACCTGAGAAAATCACACACATGTGCCTAGGGAGACAAGAACCAAGAGGCTTACTATATAGCATTGTACTTTATAGGTGAGAATTGAATACAACCTAAAACTCTATCAATAGGCAAATGCGTAAATGTAGATAAACACCCTGTTATATTCATATACACGTGAAAGACTAGATATGCATGTAAGAACGTGGCTCAATCTTAAAAATGTAATATTGAGTGGAAAAAGTTAAAAGCAAATTATTAAAGGATAGACTGACAGATACAAATATACATATATACACACATGTGAATATGAAAAACACGTAAAATAATGCTTCTTATTATTTATGGATACATAAACATGTGGCCTACGTATGAAACAGGATTAATACACACAAACTTGATATAGTAGTTACTCTGAGGAGGGAAGAAGGAAAACAAGAAGGGAGATAGATTGGTTTTAAATCAACGAATAATGTTTCTTTAAAAAAAGCATCTGAAGCTGTTTAATCATTTTATAAGTATCTCTAGCCCCACTCTAAACCTACTCTTCCCTCCTGAGTTCTCTAACTTGAGGGGTAACACAAATGAGTCCAGTCATCCAAATTAGAAACATGAGATTCAACTCTTTTTTTCCTTCCCATAACCAAAAACCAAACCTGCTGCTGTCGAGTCGATTCTGACTCATAGTGACCCTACAGGACAAAGCAGAGCTGCCCCATAGGATTTCTAAGGCTGTAATCTTTATGGAAGTAGACTGCCGCATCTTTCTCCAGCAGAGCAGCTGGTGGGTTCAAGCCACTGACTTTTCGGTTAACAGCCAAAGGCTTACCCACTACATCACCAGGGCTCCCTTTCTTTCCCATAGTCAGAAGTAATCAGTCACTGTGTTTTATTAAGATGTTTTCCTAAACGTAAAGTGCTTAGAAAAATCCCTGGCACTCAATAAATACATAGCTCTTCCCTGTTCATTTGCCCTTTTCTACTCCCATGCTACTGCCTTAGTTCGGCACTCTGTCTAACTCAACACTGCATCAGTTTGTAGTTTGCATTTTTTTGATCACATAGCTCTTTAAGAACCTGACAGAAGCCACAGATCTCTTCCCAGGAAAATACACAGTCACACAATTTTGTATGCAATTGTGGGGGAAAGTCAAGAAGCTAGCCCTGGACCGCCAGGGTGAAACTTCTTCTTTAAACTCTCCATGCTCATTTCCATCTTTCACAATGTCATTAGAATAAACTGTGTGTGTGCCCGTGCGTGTGCGCTTTGGGTGAAAGTTCACAGCCCAAGTTAATTTCTCATTCAAAAATTTATACATACATTGTTTTGTGTATGATGTGACAGCATGCTCCCCATCTCAACCCTGGGTTCCCTGTGTCCACTTGTCCAGTTCCTGTCCCTTCCTGCCTTCTCATCTTGCTTTTGGGTGGGAGTTGCCCATTGGGTTTGTATATTTGATTGAACTAAGAAGCACGTTCCTCATATATGTTATTGTTTTATAAAAACCAAACCAAACCATTGCTGTTGATTCCAACTCATAGCGACCCTATAGGACAGAGTAGAACTGTCCCATAGTGTTTCCAAGAAGCACCTGGTGGATTTGAACTGCCGACCTTTTGGTTAGCAGCCAAACTCTTAACCAGTACGCCACCAGGGTTTATAGGTCTGTCTAATCTTTGCTTGAAAAGTGGGCTTCTGGAGTGGTTTCAGTTCTGAGTTAGCAGAAGTATCTGGGGGCCATAGTCTCAGGGGTTCCTCTAGTCTCTGTCAGACCAGTAAGTCTGGTCTTTTTTCATTAATTTGAATTTTGTTCTACATTTTTCTCCCCATCTGTCTGGGACTCTCTGTTGTGATCTCTGTCAGAGCAGTCAGTGGTGGTAGCAGGTAACAGCCAGTTTTTCTGGGCTCAGGCTGGTGGAGGCTGTGGTTCATGCAGTCTTTTAGTTCACTGGGTTAATGTTTTCCTTGTGTCTTTGGTTTTCTTCATTCTCCTTTGCTCTGGACAGAATGGACCAACAGATGTATCCCAGATGGCCGTTCGTAAGCTTTTAAGATCTAAGACGCTACTCACCAAAGTGGGATGTAGAACATTTTCTTTATGAACTATGTTATGCCAATTGACCTAGATGTCCCGCAACACTATGGTCCCCAGCCCCCAGCCCCAGCAACTTGGTCCCTCGAGGTATTTGGATGTCCCTAGGAAACGCCTATGCTTTTGCTTTGGTCAAGTTGTGCTGACTTCCCCTATGCTGTGTGTTGTCTTTCCGTTCACTGAAGTTAACACTTGTCTACTGTCTAGTTAGGGATTTCCCCTCCCTCTCCCTCCTACCCTTGTAACCATCAAAGAATTTTTTTTTTCCGTGTGTAAACCTTTTCTTGAGTTCTTATAATAATGGTCTCATACAATAGTTGTCCTTTTGTGACTGACTCATTTCACTCAGCATAATGCCACCAGATTCATCCACATTGTGAGATGTTTCGTGGAGTAATCATTGTTCTTTATGGTTGCTGAGTATTCCACTGTGTGTATGTACCATAATTTGTTTATCCATTCATCTGTTGGTGGGCATTTAGGTTGTTTCCATTTTTTTGCTACTGTGAATAGTGCTGCAATGAACATGGGTATGCATGTCTATTCATGCAATGGCTCTTACTTCTCTAGGGTAGATCCCTAGAGGTGGGATGGCTGGATCTTATGGTATTTCTATTTCTAGCTTTTTAAGGCAGTGTCATATCATTTTCCAAAGTGGTTGTACCATATTACATCCCACCAGCAGCGCATAAGAGTTTCAATCTTCCTGCAACCTCTCTTAACATTTGTTATTTTGTGTTTTTTGTATTAGTGCCAGTATTATTTAAAATCATTTGAGGGCTTGGGGGTGGGATGCGTAGAGGGCAAGTGCGCATTACTGAATTCCTTACTTTAGCATTCAAAACCCTTCAAACACATGCTCCCCATCCCCATACTCTATGTTCCAGCTATACAAACACTATTTCTCCTTCCCTAAACAAACTAAGGTGTTTCCCACCTCTGTTTATGTAGTATATACAATTCCCTGTCTGCAAAAAGAACTAGCCGTTCATTCCATAAGAAACATCTACTCTTCCTTTAAGGCTCAGATCAAATATTAATTCCTCTGTGAAGTTCTTTCAAACCTCAAGCATAATGCTCCATTGGCATTTTTAACACACTTGCCAACTCCCACTGGCAATCACCCATCTAAAGGATTAACTTTCACACCTGCTTACAATGCTTAATCCAGCTCCAATTTCCCTGCCCTTGTCATAAATATTTTACCACTCATCTTTCTGGAAATGCTACCTTTAGTATTACACTTCAGAACATTCTGTATATACTAAGTGGGGCTAGCAATTTCATTTTAAAAAGGGCTTAGTCCCAGGGATGTGAACATCCTACTCCAGTTATGCAAGGCAATTGTCTTCACTGGCTTTAAAAAAAAAAACAATTTTTTTTTTCCTGGTTATAGGCATAATTCATGTTCACCATAAGAAAATACCACAGAAGTGAAATAAAAATGAGCCATAATACCACCATATAGAGGTGAATATTTGGTGTTACATAAAAACATTTAAAAAAAATAAAGGCAGATTTTGGAAGCGGTGAGATGTTACCACAAAACAGATGAAATAAAAAACAAAAGGACCATACACACAACTCTCACAATCTTTTGACCAGAAACAACATCCCCATTCCCAGGGATAATCCAGATGATACAGAACCTTCCACAAGTGGAATTACTACAGCATTTGACAAAATACCAACATCATCCAACTCTTCTTCATCATCGGAGTAAATTTTTATGATTTGTGTATTTTTTTAATGTATGTATGTATGATTAAAATATACTGTAAGTTTATATGCAATGTTTCCAACCCCCAAAGACAAATAAAGATTGGATTTATAAAGATACCGATAATAAAAGGCAATAATAATGAAAACTGAAAAAAAATAAGAGTATTTGACTTACATCAGAACTGACTTACGACAGAGTCATCAGGACAGAACCCTTCGTAACTCAGGACTACCTGTGGTCTATTACGGATGTTTTATAATTTAATCATTCCCCTACTGTTGATAGTTTATAGTTCTTAATATTATATATCGTGCTGTAATGGAATACCTGAGTACTTAAATCACTACTATCTTTCTGGTGATTTAAGGTTTTGTATACCATGCTAAGAAATATCAGGTATCATTATTTATGATCCCCTCACCACCAACTCAGTCCACACAGGACACGGACATTTTTAAGGCTCTGATTCAAAGACCAATTTGCTTTACAGAAAGTTTAAAATCTTAAAAGCAAAAGCCAAAATTTACTACCAATGACCACTTAGTGATCAGGTATGTATATGAAGTTTAATAATGTCTTAAGAATTATATAAAACTATAAAAATTAACTTACAGATATCCACTAAATTCTTCTGAAGGTTTTCTCCAAACTGTTACATCTTTCTGGAAAAATAAAAATAGTGTATGATGATAATTACACAGGCAGGATACACAGGAAGGACCCTGAATATAAAACTAACAATTGTGTAAGGCAAGAGCACTTGTTTTTGTATTAAAATAAAACTAAATTTTCAAAGAGATACATAAAAGGCATTTATATCATCAAATGATCCATATCTGAATTTCTTCTGTATCCCAAAGCTAGTCACATTTTACCTAACTTACAGACTTTCAAAAAAGATTTCAATACTTTAGTAAGACCAAACAATGTTAGACTCAGTGATGGCACTATCTTATTGGCCACTATTATTTGTTTCATTTTAATCTTACCTATTTAACATTACTGACACATTCAGACTATGACATAAGCAACACTAAAAATTTAATTCTGAACTTAATTCATACCTTTTAAAAATTAAGTAATTCACATTCATCGTAACAGTACAACCTTGAATTAGTCCCAACACTTGTTTCTGATCATTTTCCAAATAATTTTGAATCAGAATAGCTAGAGCACTTAACTAGAAGCGTTCTGGGTTCTGGGGTTGGCTCTGTCAACACTTAGCCATGTGAAAGTCTGTACCAGTCACACTGGTAAAAAAGAATATTAACTGGCCACCTCATATGCTTGTTGAACTACTGAATTGAACTACTCCAAACTATAAATTACTGCATGCCCTAAATGGGTAACTACACATTTTATTTGTTGACTTAAGAACTTATCCTTTAGACTCTTATTGCCATGAGCCTACTCCCATGTCTAATATTTTCAGTAACTAATGAAAGTAGTGTAAGATTACTATCAATGTTTCTTCCTTTGTGAGATTTAAACCACCAAGTCTATCAGCACAATTTATCTATCAATTGTACACCCATGGTCTCTTGTCCATATTGTCTTACCATTTTAAAGTCATCAACCAATTTAGACAGAAGATAAACACCAAGTTACTTGTAATTTAACTAATTTACCGTTTTCTTAGCAACTCTCCACTTATCATCTTCAATGCTATGATACTGGATGAGAGTGTTTTTAAGCTTAGTGGAAAAAGCAGAAGCATCAGGTAGGTCTTCCATTTTTTGTCCTGTTACAGAGACACAAGAATAAGTAGAATAAGTAGTATAGCTTGATGCAGTAGACCTATGTATGGGTCTCAAAACTGGCTTCACATTAGAATCACCTGGGGAACTGTAAAAGATACCTATCTTGGACCCCACCCAAAATCAACTAACCAGAATGTCTGAGAGTAGGTTTTTTTTTTCCTAAGTGCTCCCAAGATGAGAAATAAGAGAGCCAGGAATGAGAATCATACATGTTGGCAGTTATCAAAATCACTCATACAAAAAATAAAATGCAATTCTGTTTCCTTTCTTAACAGATTCCAATAAAAGAAATGAATTATAAAGATCTAGATAACCTTAAAAAAAATTGTTTTCCAGGATACAAAAATAATATACACAACACAAACTCTTTAAAAAGTCCTTCAGCCACTTAAAGTTTTTATTTTATTATCCAACAAATTGAGGGCTCATTTCAACAAACAAACAATAACCACTACTAGAAAACCTCTTTCTACATACTTTTAAGTGTAAGACTATAACCCTAATCAAAGCATTATGCATTAGTAATTAAAGCCAAAACAGTGCTTTACTTTATAGAAATATTGTTAAGTTATTAATACCTGTAACATATTTCAATCAAGCTGTTAGAACCCACCACTCCACTGAAATAGTTCTTGTGAAGGTCATCAATAACTCCCATTTTTATTAAGTACTAATGATCAGTCTCCTTTGCTGGTGCCCCTTCCCCTCAGCTCTTATCTAAATGTTGACAGACCCCAGTGCTTAGTCCCAGGCACTACTCTACCTGCCTCGTGCCTTCTGCAATCTCATTTCTTATCTCCGTGCTGCTAACTCTCAAATGCTTACCTCCAATCCTTCTCTCCACTGAGCTCCAGAGTCCCAGATCCAAAAGCCTACTTAGAGATTCATGCTTAGGGGCATCTCTTCTCTCCCCTTAAAATCCAAAAAACCAAACTCATTGCCGTCCAGTTGATTCCGACTCATAGCAACCCTACAGGACAGAGTAGAACTGCCCCATAGGGTTTCTAAGGAGTGGCTGGTGGATTCAAACTGCTGACCTTTTGACCACCAGCTCCTCTCTCCCTAGCCTCCCTCAATTTGCCTCAGTCTTCCACATCTTAACAATTTACCATCAGAATAGTAATTGAGCCCACTTGCTCAAGCCAAAAGCCTAGAACTTACCTTTGATTCCTTTCTTTCACCCACACTGCCATACCACACTACCTATAGTGTTCTAGCCCTACTGGTTTTATTTCTACTCCTCGAACATGCCAAGATTATCCCTCACTTTGGGCCTTTGCACTTGCTATTCCTCTGCATGGGCTGCTAGCTCAAATCTGAGCACGACTAATAACAACTTGTAATGCCAATTACAGCTTAAACATCCTGTCCTTAATGTGGTCTTTCTTTGTCAAGAACCAAACCCACTGCCACTGAGTTGATTCTGACTCGTGACAAACCCACATGTTTGTTACAGAACAGAATTGCCCCAGAGGGTTTTCTTGGCTGTAGTCTTTAACGAAGCAGATTGTCAGGTCTTCTGTGGAGCTACTGAGTAGGTTCTAATTGCCAAAGTTTAGGTTAGTAGTTCACTGAAAACCATTTGCATCACCCAGTGACCTTACTCAAGTTACAATCATGTCCTTCTTTTATCTTCTTCATAGTGCTTATCACTATTTCAAATTACCTTATTTATTTGTTTACTAGTCTACTCTTTGGCCACTCCACCTTCAACTAATAGAGCAGGGGCCCTGTCTACCTTATTCACTACTACATCCCCATCACCTAGGACACTGTCTGCTACACAGCTGTTGTAGTGCATTTCCTTCAAAATAAGAATTATTTGATCTTTTTGTCTCCCAATGCCAGGGCACAAATTTCTTAGCATAATTCCTACTTTTCCCTATTCTTTCTCTACTCCTCTCATTCTTCAGTCAAAAAAAAAAAAGCTAAAGGAGAAAAGAGTTTTAGGGAAAAGATTACTACTAAAAAGGAGATCAAGAAAAAATCTGAGTGAAATCTCAAGCTTCAAACTTCTATGGAAATAAGCTGCAATTCTCAATTATGGGTACATACATCGGAATCATTTTGTTATATTTTGTAGTAGTTGTTGCTGTTTCTAGATGTTAGATTTCAGGGCCTACCACCAGATATTCTGATTCTGTGGATCTGGGATAGGCCCAGGGCCCCAGAATTCTATGTCCTTTAAAATCCTCACTGATGATTCTGTTGCCCAGCCAGGGCTGAGAACCACTGAGCTAAAAACTAAATAAGTCAAGTTTATAATCAATATTTAGCCCAAAAAAAGAGCATGCAAGCCATTAAATTCGATAGCTGCTAAAATTGTATACAAACATGAGAAAGTATATATAGAAAATGAAATTATCTAGAATTTAGGATTTGTGTGATACAAAATGTATAAGTACAGATTCCACCCATAGACTGAAAGTGGATGAGCTCATTCAAAAAGTCTGCTAGTCAGGAATATACTCTATTTCCACTTGAGAGACTGCCAACTTGATAACCAGTTCAATGACTTTATTCAAGGGTATATTATAAACAAGCACAAATTCCTAAGAGAAAGCTTGCAAAGCAAATCTGATTTATCTATTACTGGGATCATTCTAATTCAACAATGTTCTCTATAAACCCAGGGATCAGCTGCCAAGTTCTTATGAGCATATTTTCAAAACTCTGATAAAAATCAAAGATGAAATAGAAAGCTACTATTATCACAGGCAAATATAATCCTTATGCAAATCCAGCACAGAAAAAATAAACAATAAAAGTCATCTACAAAGATGAGTACCTGAAGCTTTAAGGTGCTTGCCTTAGTGATCCTTCAGTCCTACTGATTTGTCTAAAGTCCAAAGACCTTTTATGATCTGGCAGAGCTTCACTGTCTAATTGCTACTGTTCTTAATTTAGATGTCATTGCCTCCAGGAATCTTCTCTGGACTTGCCTAAAGACTGGGTCAGGTAACTCCCTCCAAAGTTTCCTCATAGCAACTCTGTACCGTAATTTTTACTGCCTTCTCCCATTTAACTGTAAGATCTTTTGGGGCAAGGAATATGGCTTGTTCAATGTTGTACTCATTATGCCTAGCATGCAGTAGGAACCAATGAATGAAAAAGGGGAAAATGTGTGGACACTGAGCTACTATTCTCACTTACGGAAGACCTCAAGATACCTCAGGCATGCCCATTAACACTAATCACCCTCAAGCTTTTGAATAATGAGGAAAACTTAACATGACGAAACACAAGTTCTCAAGGAGGTCTACTGTTAAACATTTACTAAGCACCTAGTATATACCAGGTGCTAAAAATACAGAAATGGATGTGACCCAGTTTTGCTCCCAAAGTTGATGTTTTCCACCCTTTAAATAAACTTTGAACAGCAACAATAACAAAAACTAAAACATTGAAAACCCCTATTAATAAGCCTCTTTAAGTGATGTAGAAAAGGAAGAGAACTAAGTATAAAATCTAAAACTCTTTTAGCCCAACAAAATATTTAACCAGGCACTTAATTCTTGCATGAATTTTTAAAATCAAGATTGGGTCCAAATAGGAATTAATGTTACTGTCTAAACTGCTCTCTGTGTTATGGACAAGCAGCACTGTATCTCTGGAAATACATTCCAGATCCTAGGGGGGCACAGGGTTATCAAGATCTCACCTCTCTTAATATAGCAGGGCACTCCCATCTATGAAAGGACAGCGTACAAGTTGCCCTATTGCAATATACGTCTGTGGACAGTGTCGGGATGATGTTTTAAATACCATTCTGAACTCCCTCATAATAATACAATTTTTTATTCCCTTGTCCTTATATCAGGAAACTCTCCAACTCTACCAAAGTCCATGTCAGAAAGAATGGGCACTATTTAACCTTATCAGAATCTTACAACTCCATATAAAAGGTTATACTTTTGTCAGTCCTATGAACAAGTGCTGAGTAATGTCCACCTTCATTTTTCCTAACTTTAACTCTTTTTGTTCATGTTTTTTATGCTCATGTTTTTGAAGTGATCACTGGTGGTGACAGTGGCTGCCATCACACAATGGACAACTTTCCCAAATTAAAAAATTTCTTAAGGCAATCTATTAGCTCCATATCCGTGACCAATGCAACCCTAATTATTCTCAAACATCTGTCACAGTGAAATGGCCATAGGTTCCTTTTTAAATATGGAATGTAATAAACATTTTAATCTCTAATAAAAAGTGCATGTCACAAAAATCTATTATTACTAGTGTAGTATAACTAAGTTAGAATTCACTTGTTGAAGAAGCCCAGGTATCAGCACTGCTTAACCTTCCATTACCCAACTGATATGGCTTTCATTTATGTGAAAAAGTTTTAATTTAACATACCACAGATTTTCCTCCAAATGCTGTACATACCAAGGCTTTGAAAATCAAGTAATATTTTCTACCTAATATAAAAATTTCAGCAAATGCTTGATTTCCAATCTTGAATTGGTAATTTAGCTTTTCTGCCTCAGTCAAGCACAGCAGTTTCTTATTTTTGAGAATGATGGCAGGAGGAGCTCAGTATTTAAAGGAATGCAACAGAAAAGCACACTTCATCAATGTGACTAATAATCCTGGTTCACGGGCTCCCCCTGGCTTATTTTAAGGCACAACTTTTCAATTACAACAGTTAAGGTAACATTTAAACTGTAATGATATCACAGCTTTGAGTCCAAGTTACTGTTCAAACTCTTAATGTTCTAATCCTTTATTAAAAATAATAATAGCTAACATGTACTGATCACTTACTATGTGTTAGGTCCTTCTGGCCATTTGTATTATTTAATTTAATCCTCATAAACAACCTTAAAAGTCAATCCTATTATTATCCCTATTTCACAGAAAGGGAAAATAAGTAATAAAGAAGTTACATCACTTGTCCAAGATCACACAGCCAGAATTCCAATCCAAGGCGTCCGACTCCTGAGTCTAAAGGTCTATTTTGTAAAACGCTGGACGTTGATCACAGGCTGGAGGAGACCTTATGCATAAACCCTGACACCATACCGAATTTGCCAAATTTTGTCCTGTTCCCGAACCCGAAAATCTCAGGTATTTTTCTCGATTGCAAATTAGGAATAGTAATAGTGACACTAATTTCTTAAGGAATTACATGCGTTAATACATGTTGAGAGTTTAGTACCGAACTTGGAACAAAATATGCATTCATAAAATGTTGGCTCTTATCAACATCACCCCAATGTGAGGGGATGGTTTCAGCGCTGTCTGTATACCTACTAAGAACCAGAAAGAATTCTGCCCTTCACAGAACAGGACGTCAATGACTTTTTACCACCGCCCTTTCTTGTTTTTAGCTGCGCTCCTCCCCCATTCAACAGATGAGAAAACTGAGGCCCAATCAGAGTCAAAGTCCTTAAGCTGGTGAACTGCGCAAGTTCTGGGATTCTTCCGGCTAGTCCCTTCCCCTCTCTAGGCCTCAGTTTTCTCTCTCACCTGTGAGGTGTACACTCGCTCGGACGCCGGGGTCCACCACCTCCGACCCCCACGGCGGCGTCCCTCAGCTCACGACCAGAACCAACTCCAGGTAAACGCTCTGGGATAGGGTGCTCCGGACGCCGCCGTCGCCCGCCTCTCGGGTCGCCCCACTCCTGCCGTAGCTGCGCGCCTCTATTTGGGGATTCCTCAAGTGAAGCTAGGATGTGGACTCAGCTCAGGAAAGCCCCAGGAACATCTCACTCACCGCTTTCCGCAACACTGCCGCACTGGAGTTGGCTGAGCTTCCCCGCAGTCGCAGCCAATTGGAAAGCATAAAAATCTTCCAGGCTAGGCGGGCCGGGTCTCCAGCCCCGCCCTCCCATCCGGTGTGGCCGCAGATGCTCCAGGACTAGGGGGAGATGTTGACCAGTGCAACGTGCGTTTGTTTGGATTGGCTGGCGCAGCAGCGTGCGGAGGGCTGATTGGTCGCCGGGAAATGGAATGATTCTGCGTGGATGTGGGCTGGGGCGAGTCCAGCCGGTGTTTCCTAGGTGTGGGGATTTTTTGTGGGTTTGTTTCAGTTGGAGTGTCTTGAGGCCAATTAATTGTGAAAGAATTTTTCGGGGCAGTTCAAAATCAGGCTGGGAGAAACACAATTATATTAGTGAGGAATAAGGCTGACCCTAACCCGCACAGGACAAAAGTCAAATAAGAAAAGGCACACAGACCGAGGATGAAGGGCCCCTCTGCCTCCCGCCTAGCCGTACTTAGAGTGGAGAACACTAGGAAGTAAAATACACGTATCAAAGTCATTGTGAATTGCTCTTTAGTTCAACGTTTTTCTTGTCTTCAGATAAGGAATTTTACAACTATGAAAGAGAAGGCGTGTGGCAGGTGGCTTTAGGACCCTCACAAAGTGTTCTGGTTTTCAAGATAACATTTCTTCCGGTGGCTGTGAAGTCACGCATTTGATGGGATGCCTGGCAATACTAAAAAGCAGGCTGTTTACAAATTATATTTACTAAGATATGTAGATAGAGGACCAAGAGTAGGAAGGAATGCAGTACTACATATTAATCTTTTTCAGTAGACTTAAATAATACTCCATATTTTTCAAATTAGCCTCACTAAAATAATCAGCAAACACCACTTGACAGTTAAGATTGGCCAGTATTTATCCTACCTCATTGTTTATATAGAAAAGGAATAATTTGTTTTATTACATGTGAGGTTATACATGTGAGATGAAAGTGGAAAAGTTCTTTGTGTACTGTAAATCTCTGTTCACTTGCTAGTTCTTATTGGCCAATTATTGTGGTGTTTGTTTGCTTATATATAAAAAGGAACAATAATTTGAGATGCTTGTGGAAAAGTATTTGTATAAAGCTCTACATACTTCATCTCCTTGAATCCTCTTAACAGCCCCCTAAGATAGGTTGTGTTTTACATGAGGAGCCTGAGGCATAGATCTTAAATAAGAAACCTATCGCCGTTTAGTCAAGTACAACTCACAGTGACCCTATAGGACAGAGTAGAACTGTCCCATAGAGTTTCCAAGGAGCACCTGGTAGATTTGAACTGCTGACTTTTTGGTTAGCAGCCATAGCACTTAACAACTACACCACCAGGGTTTCCATGGATCTTAATAGTTTACTTAATTACTGAATAGCTGAACTGGACATTGGCAAAGGTCTGCTGAACTCCAAAGCAAGGGCTCTTAACCCCACAAAACTCATACTAAACTTTTTTGTTAGACACCTGCACACAGCAGTGGGGACCAAGAATGAAAGTCCTAATCCCTTGCCCCAAAGATTCTCACAGTTTAATGTTGGAGAGGAACAAGTCTTCACAACCATTTCAGAAAAGTAAAAAAATTATCTCTCATCATTACGATTCAGCTCTAGGTACATTGCTCAGAAGCTCTGCACATTCTCTCTCAGAATCCTATAAAACACGTTTAAAAAAATTAACTTGGCCTTTATTTGTGGGGGAGGTGTTGCATAAGGTCATTACATCACACTTATGCCCCATGACTTCTTATTTTCTCTGGTTTAGGGGAGGTTTTACTTCTTTGCCTATTGTTCTTCATCTGTTGTGTTTTTCTTGGTTAGAAATAAGTTGGGGTAGTTGCAAATGACCCTACCTCTATCAAATCGGAAAGCTCGTAAAAGCAAAAATACAGATTCAGAAAAAAGAAAATATCATCTAGAGCTATTATTGAGGGCTTACTATGGTCCTGGTTGCACAGCGGTTAAGAGCTTGGCTGCTAACCAAAAGGTGAGCAGCTTGAATCCACCAGCCACTCCTTGGAAACCCTATGCGACAGTTCTTCTCTGTCCTATAGGTCGCTATGAGTTGGAATCAACTCTGAGGCAATGGGTTTTAGTATGGTCCAGGCACTATACTAACCTCTATACACGTGTTAACTCATGTATTTCTGATAACAATCTATAAGGTATGCTCTATTACTGCTTTCATTGTACACACCAGGGAACTGAAAGTAGGTCAACAGACAGGTACTACCCACCCTCGTCACAGTTTGAAAATGAAATAAGCTTTCCCTCTAGAGTTCAACTATAAAAGAGACATATGATGGATTTGCACAGATATATGGAAAGTCACCCTAAAGAGACAAAATAGCTTTCCTGTGAAGCCCTGACTGTAATCTAATACATGACTGTAGTTAAAGAATTTCAAGAAGAGAACTGGAATAAATTCCAAAAACATAGAAACAATGTATCCACAATTTTTAACCAGTGGGCAATAAATCTAGAAGTAAACAAACAAAACACACATGCACAAATGTCCCCAACTACTTGGAAATTAAAAAAATCTGTCCCCCCATACTTTTTGGTCAAAGAGAAAATCAAACAGTACCTACTGCAGAGTATTAACAAATAATAAAAATAAAACCCTATGTATCAAAACCGAGGAATATGACAAATTCTATACTCAGAGGAAAATTCATAGCTTTAATTCAATTCAACAAATATTTATTAAATTCCTACTACCTAGGCCAAGGACTGAGGATACATTGTGCCTCAACTGATAATTATTCCTTTGCAAATAACTGAAACTCAATCTGGACTAAACCAAAACGATGTATTGGAAAGATATAGGAATATCTTATAAAACTTTGCTACTCGAAGTGTGATCCACAGACCAGCAACTGTGGATAAACTGGGAGCTTGTTAGAAATGCAGAATCTCAGGCCCTACCTCAGTTCTACTGAGTCGTAATCCACATTTTAAAAAGATAAGATACCTAGATGATTCATATGTACACTGAACTTTGAGAAACTCTGTCATAGAACACAAGGGCTTGACTTATAGGCAAGGTTCCAGAAAAGATTAAAACCAGAACTTAAAAGCCACTGAGAACTGAGACTGAACAAATTCATCAAACTGAAGATATATGCACTTCACTATATCTAAGTTATATGTCAATTAAAAATATATTAATCAACCCATTGTAGAAAAAATAATCAGAAGGAATGAATTAATAAATATAAAAATTAGAAAACAAAGAAACAATAGAATTGATAAATACATGACATGATTTTTTTGTGGGAGTGGATTTAGGGCATAATTAAATAGGTAAATCAACAGCTAGTCCAATTAAAGGGGGAAAAGACAGAAAAAGAAAATAAAAAGATAGATCATTATGACTAAGAAAGGGGAAATAGTAAGTCTTTGTTAGTAAATTTAACCTGGGTGAAATTGATACTATTTTAAGGAAATATAAATTACCAAAATTGCCACAAGAAGAATTGGAAGAGGTAGGAAGTCTAATAAACTTGTAAAAATAAAAATTTTGAGAAAAGGAGGATTACACTACCACTCAGAAAAGCACCAGGTCCAGATGACTTCACAGGATAATTTTTTTCAACTCCTAGAGAAACTGGTAATTCTAATGCTATTATAACTGTTTTTAAGCCATAGATTAAAAAAAAAAAAAAAACAACTAAAAGAGGAAATCTCTTCTATTATTTTTATAAATTGATTATTTTGATACGCAAATAAGGCACTTTAAAAAAATCTTAGTAATTTCCTCTTCTAGTCATGATGTACTAACTGGAGCTAGACTTACCCACCTACGTCCTGAACTAAATATATGAAACAGCCATTTTCAGACATTGGGAAACAGGCTACATAATACTGCGATCCCTGAAGAAGGTAAACAAATGAAGTGAACCCTATGACTGCCACATCTTTCTGTCTGGAGGTACTTTCAAGAGCACATTATGGGGATTGGAGGACCCAATAGAACATTAAAATCTTACTGAGTTGAGGAGACAGAGATCAGAGTTGAGAAAAGTTGAGGTGCCTGGAATTTGCGAGACAAAGTAACAGAAATTAGAGAGCTACACAGAGAAAGCATTCCAGAAAGCTGCCTATGGTTCCCCTTGAGTCTTTGGCTGAATACTAAGCAGGTCATGCATGAGGTGGGACACCACAAAGCTGGCCAAAGCACAACCACTAAGGAAAGAACAACTGCCAGGGAGCTGTAAATGGAACAACTAAAGTTTATACAGGTCTCGGAAACATTCCAGTCAGCCAGAGTGAAGAGGCCTCATTGAACATCTTAAAGCATTTAGTAGAGACTCTGAGGAGTTATGCTTTAACCATGGAGCTAAAGTAGCTCCAGAGTGAAGGCTGCTTTTGTTTTTGTTGTTGTTAGGTGCCATTGAGTCAGTTCCGACTCATAGTGACCCTATTGGACAGGGTAGAACTGCCCCATCGGGTTTCCAAGGAGTGGCTGGTGGATTTGAACTGCTGACCTTTTGGTTAGCAGCCAAGCTCTTAACCACTGTGCCACAGGGCTCCAAAGGCTACTTTAGATATCCCAAAACAAATCTTAAAAACGAGCCTCAAAACAATCAAGGTGATCCACAAGTGACTTATCTGCCTGCCAGAGAAAAGCTCAGCCTTCTGGAAGGGAAAAAAAAAATCCTGATTCTCAACAACATAATAATGACAATATCCAGTATCCAATAAAAAATTGTTGGTCATGCCAAAATGCAGGAAAATATAACTCATAACCTAGGTAAAAATCAGTCAATAGAAACAGAACCAGAGATAACAAAGATAATGGAATTAGTAGAAAAGGACTTTAAAGCAGCTATTTATAAGTTGGGTATCTTAGTTATCTAGTGCTGCTATAGCAGAAATACCACAAGTGGATAGCTTCAACACAGAGAAATTTATTCTCTCACAGTCTAGTAGGTTACAAGTACAAATTCATGGCATCAGTTC